CCTAATCATTATTCATCTATTACAATGCATATATTTATATATAATATTATCTTCTTAATATTCATAAATAATACTATATAAATAGTTTACAAATATCGTTTAAAATTCCTTAATTAATTTATAATCTTTAGTTTTATCACATATTCATTGTGCTATTGTCATACCTACATTATCACTAACTTGTTATCACATTTCCACTACCATTAACTGTTATCATAGCTATACCATTATTACTTACTGTAATATTTGCAATGTTATTAACCATTATCATATCTACACCCATGCAATACTACTAACTACTATATCTGCTCTATTATCAATTTATTATCATATCTGTGCCATTATCAATCATTATCGCATCTGTATCTTCTCCATTATCAACTATTACCATATTTGCATTTATAATATTATCAACTCAAAAATAACTTCAATGATTGTTTTATTATTTCTTTTACTTCTTATTCATATGATTTGTTCTATCCATTCATCATTACTATTTGATTATATTACACCACGTAATTGTTCAAATACTACCGCTTATTATGATTCATTAAATTTACAATGTCGTAATTGTAATAACAATAGGATTGCTAGTCCCAATCATTTACACTGTATTTGTCCATCAGATACCATTTCAACTTCTGATGGTACTTGTTTAAAATGTGAACAAGGTAAGTTTTTCTTTTAATTTATAATAAAAATTAAAAAAAAAATTAGCTAAGTGAAAAAACAAAATGTATGCAAATAATCGAATGATATTTTTTCATGCTTTTAGTAAATTATGCAATTAATTCTTTGTTATTTTTAATTTATAATTTTATTAAAGGCAAAAAAGTTAGCAGTGATGGTCATTTTTGCATTAAATGCCCAATGACCAAAACTGAAAATCAATGCTCATCATGTCCATTTCGCCATTTCACACAACGGTTAATATTAGCTAATGGTACTTTAATGGAAGAAAATTGTGCAAAATGTCCGGCTAATACAAAAGTTTCAATCCATGGTGACACTTGCATACCATGTTTTCAAATCGATGATGATAGCTGTGAATGTCAGGTAATAATTTATTTTAGAGACACTAATAATTAAAATTTAATTAATAAGAATTCCTTGAAACAATATTAAATGAAACTAAATTCTTAGGATAATTTTAGGATGGTTTTGCTTTCTAAGATAATTTTAGGATTATTTTTCTTTTTAGGATAATTTTAGGATGATTTTTCTTTTTGGAATAATTTTTCTATTTCATTACCTTTTTATTTGCATCTAAAATTACAAAACTTTTTAAATAACCCTTAAAAAAAAAAATAAAAATAAATAATAACAAAGATT